CTATGTCGGTTACTCTGGTTCTACTGCGGATATCCTCATTCCTAAGTTTATCACGCAGAGAAACTCCGAGCATAGCCCTCTCCATAGCTCGCTGAGCGACCTTGAGCTTCCTCATACGGCCAGCAGTGAAGGACCACGTCTCAGTTCCATAAGTCATCACTGGCAACACGCACTGGTTGTACGATTTCGTTTTAAGGTTTTGAGGTATGTCTGACGAGAAGATGTGTCGTAGCTTCCCGAACGCTGCCCAGCCGAGTTGAATCCGTCGATTGACCTCTCGGTCGAAGTTGGACTTACCTAGTCGGACTATTTGTCCCAGGTAAACATACTCGTCAACAACTTCGAGCTTAGTGCTCCCAACAACTACCGGTATAGGTGTGACATGGACATTGAACATGATCTTTATTTTGTCCATGTTCATCTTAAGACCTATCCGTTGGGAAACACTATTGAGGTCATTGAGCATAGTGCTTAGGTCCTCCAGCGATTCTGCCATAAGGACTATATCGTCGGCAAATCGAAGGTGAGTGATGTACTCGCCATTGAGGTTGACACCGTATCCTTTCCAGTCCAGAAGCTTGAAAACGTCTTCCAATGCAGCGGTGAAGAGTTTCGGGGATATGACGTCACCCTGTCTTACACCTCTCTGCAATTGGATAGGTTTCGTACTCTGGTTCTGTACTCGGATAGCCATCGTAGCTCTACTGTACAAGCACTTCAACACTTCGATATACCGACAGTCAACTTGGCACCGCTGAAGGGACTGCAGCACCGCCCAAATTTCGACGGAATCAAAGGCTTTCTCATAGTCCACATACGCCAGACATAGTGGCAAATTGTACTCTTCGGACTTCTGTACAATTTGTCGAAGGGTATGTATGTGGTCTATGGGGTGCGTGCGTTGTACGTTGCCAGGTCGAGTCGTCTAAGGTGGCAACCGAACCTCCACCGGAGATTCTTAGCACCCCCTGCCCCGCCGTTACCATGGTCGCCACCGTAGCCAGGAATAGCGGAGCCGCCGGGGACTGGGGGCCGTCTCTTTGTTACATTCATAGGGGGGTATTTGCCATAGTTGCCACGCTTGGCGAGCGGGTTGGCAACCGCAGTTTTTTTATTGTAATTTTAGCTATTATCAGGAAGATGCTGCTGCCCATCTCCTGCCTGTTTCCCTTTGTCGCCTTTTACGACACCCACGGGAGGATATGGGGTAGTGGTATTCTTGACCGCCACAACACCATCTACTTGCTTGTAAAACTGTTCCTTCCACAATAGATAGCCAGATGTAAGGCAATGTCTGATTAATACTGCATATTCTGCTGGCATGTAGTTTTCCTCTAGTTTCCTAGTTACAATTGAGATGCAGTCTTCAACAGGTAGGCATGTATGTCCTCTGAGTGGTGATAGTACTGTTGCGTGCCACTATTAATGTCTTGTACATGGCAATACTAGTTACACTAACGCCCTCTAGTGTCGAGTAAAAGAAAGTGTTGCGCGCCACTATTAATGTCTTGTACATGGCAACACTAGTTACACTAGCACCCTCTAGTGTCGAGTAGCAGAACTAGGAGAGTCGAGATCCTTCCAGAAATTTCGGAACCGATATGTACCCGAACATTCTAGATGTCGCTACAGTAGAAGGTTCTGGAAACTATCTGAGGCCCTATTTAAGGCCGGTATAGATCACGACCGGGGCAGTATTGAATTGGCGATACAAGAGAATACTTCGAAGCGAAATAACTGCGAATTAAAGTGATTGTGTTATATTATTAGTGTGGTTTTAGATTGTAATTAGTATTGTGTAATTAAAGTGTCAATTTTGGTAATTCAATCGGCAGTTTTAATTGTCTCGAAACCCAAGCTCGTAACAGTACTATCACCACTCAGAGGACATACAAGAGCACACACTAAGGATTCATACCATTTTGTCAGTGAGATAAAAGACATATGTCTTACTGACAATGAAACTATGGTCAGTTTTGATGTTCAGTCTCTATTTACATGCCTACCTGTTGAAGGCAGCATCTCAATTGTAACTAGGAAACTAGAGGAAAACAACATGCCAGCATACACGTTGAATAAAAAATTAGTCTATTCTATTAAAGGATTAATAAATGTGAGGAATTCTGAGGATTTAAATTCTGAGGATTAAACAAGAAGATTATTAGCTGAGCGGCGGTCACTAATCAGCTGGTGCTCCTCAAAGTACCGCATGAGCTGGGAGTTAATAATGGATACCATTATTTTCAAGAACAAGGAGGCGATGGCATTAAGCCTGTAGTTCAGGGGTTCCCTAACTTATTCATAACGCGCCCCCTTTCTACCAAAAAAACTATCCTCGCCCCCCTGCTCAAGATAATTTTGATTACTATCAGGTTAGAAAAAATATTTATATATTATAGTATATAACATAAAAGATTTTAATGCTAATTATAGTTAATAATAATCATATAAAAAACTACTTAATTATTTAACAAAACTTCTTATTTATTCGAATGTGATGAATGAGCTTGCATGGTTTTAACGAGGTTTCTGATTCTCAGCTTGACCACAGAAATCGCACAACGCAAATCACTATCTATGTTAAGTTTATTTCTGTACTTAGTTCTTACTGCTACAACAGCAGAAAATCCCCTTTCGCACAAATATGTACTGGAAAAGGATAAATACAATCGAAGTGCTCTCTTTGCTATTTTGGGATAAATTGAGAAATATTTGACTCCAATCATTGTTTTACCCATTTTTTCGATATTATATTTAGTAGCAGAACAATTTTTAATTTCCAAGGCTTCCTCTTAAAGTGTTTCTGGCAGGGCATCTATGTTAACTCGGACTCGGTCGTCGACGATTCGAGCCGCTCTGCGTTGGATGCGGTCAAGTGGAAGGAGCTGGCACTGGGGAGCCCCTGCCCAGAGATGGGAACAGTATTCCATGTGAGGTCAAACCTGCGCCTTGTAAAGTTGCAGGTGGTGTGCCGGCATGAAATACTGTCCCGCTCTGCTGAGCAGGCCAAGCTTTTTAGAGGCCAATTTGGCCTTCTCTTCCAAGTGACCACGAAACTGCACGTCACTCGATATGTCGACTCCGAGGATACCGATACTGGCTGAGGCAAGAAGGGGAGTGCCTTGAAACTGAGGAGATACGACAAAGGGGTTCTTTTTAGCGGTAAACGCGCAAACTTGTGTCTTCTGAGGATTAAACTGGACTAGATTTAGTCGCCCCCAATCCGAGACTTTGTTCAGCAAAGACTCGACTTCAGACACAAGTTTGTTCCGGTACTCGGCGCCGTTTTCTCGAGAAATATTGGCACGGCCGGTGTATAGAGCATCACCAGTGCTGTCATCCGCATAACAATGAATGTTAAGGGTCCATTCCATAACATGGAATGGATCGGTCGCCAATCGATAAACATCATCATCACACGAGGTAGGAAAGTAGTGGTTGAACTTATCAGTAAGGAGCTGCAAATTATTTGATATTTTTCTCTTGGTTTCAGAAGCCTCAAAAACCTAAAAACCTAGAGTGGAATTTGTTGCAATTTTTGCTTACATTCTGGTCCAAGAACAATGTCGGCTGCTTGCAGCATACACGGTTTGACGACTGTTTCTCCAATCTCCAATATTAAGGCTTTTTCCCTTTCGATAAGCAACGATAATTCGTTCGCAGCTTCAAGTAGTTTTTGGTTTGACTCGGTAAATTAACCAGTACTATCTAACTTCATGCATTTTAAACTTCCAGATTTTACATTATAAAACTCTTTCGGTTTGTCCTTCAAATCACTGTGTTTAGTCAATAAATGTTGCTCCAGACGAGTCGGTCTCAAAGCATCATTGCTCAAAACTTCGTAACAGATAATGCACTGTGGATGATAGCCATCATTTTTACTTATGCAAACAAAACCGTATTTAATATAATCTTCATTGTATTTGCGATTTTTGTCGTGTTCATCTCGTTGAAACAGAAATAAATTGACAAGTCACAGTCTGAGTGACTGTGAGCTGTGCTTACGCGACAGCAAGGCGTGCGGGGGAGGAATGCACGCACAAGCGAATCGTCGGAACTTCGAACCGACCACTAGCTGCGATTAGTGCGTTGAGTTAGTACTTGCAGTAGCTGTGTACATAAAGCCGTTTCTTGATCGTAAGGTTCTTAATTAGGCAGGGGGCCCGCGCCCACCTTTGCTGGTCTCTGCGTCCCCCTTGCGTGGCGCACCCCCCACTTTGAAAACCCCTGCTGTAGTTGGATGGATCAGAGTGGTTACATTTTTTAGGGATCAGGTGCACGAAAGCTGTCGTCGTATCCGAAGTATAATATGCTTCGAATACGAAATGTGTAAATATAATGTTTACGGCCTTACACGCTTATGACCTTTGGATCTTTAAATAATAAGTTCTTCGTATCGTTAGGTGCAATATATACTATCGCATTGACACTAACAGAGTTATGGCGGGAACTTGTCCGGCGGTGGATTGCTGCTCAAGTATTATTGTTTAGATAATATATAAATAATAAATAAATAATGGCTTAAAGTAGAATTTGATATGTAAAAGTGGTGCGATTTGGTGTATTAAGTGTCTTCGCATGTGAACTATTAGTGGAAACGGTGAAACAAATGCTTTGATGGTGATGTGATTCTCAAGGTAAGGTGTCTGTCTGCTTAGGCGTCTTGAGATACCATCGCCAACTGTCAGCTGTCTGCTGGCTCAAGTTGCCGTCAAAATCTCCCAAGAGCTGCACAATGTGACGCATCAACATATTGTAAAGCAATGTACTATGAAGGATAATTATACATTGTAACTTCAGGCTCAGAAGGGCTAGAACCCAGAGCCATAAAGTTAGTTATAAAAAATGACATTTTGACAGTAGACAAAATAAAAAAGTAATAAACTTTTGACAACTGCATTAAAAATTTTATTGTGTTAGGTTAACCTATTTTTAATGATTTGGTGCTAATTTATTGAATGATTGTATAGTTAATTCAAAAGACATAGCTTAAGATCAAAATGAGTTTTCTTTTGTAAGTAGAATCACTTTAATAAAAACAGGAATACTTGTCTATTTTTAACTGGTATTCGTCCGCTGTATTAATGTGTTGTTTATGTTTGTTACGATGTTTCGAAGACGATTAGAGTGCTTAATTTAATTTTGTCCGTTCGTTACATTTCGTCTAGATTAAGATTTTGTCTAGGGAAAACTTGAAAAAGCAGTATGTAATATGTATATTGCATATGAATTTATTATACTGAATCCTTGGCTGAAATAATGGATTCACCATATACTTATCGCTGTTATATTTTTAATTGGATTTTATAGGTATTTGTTTATGCCTATTTTTTATAATGCCCCAGTACTTAGTTATACAAGACATGGTAAAGCTATCCAATAGGAATAATTTATAAAGCTTTATCATTTTACTTTGTTATTCATAACTAGTTGTTCCTCGCGACTTCGCCCGCATGGAATTTGCTACGATTTTATGGGTTTTATTTTTTTTTGCACTGAACCCTAATTATTTTTCTAAAATAAAAGTATCCAAAGTTACTCCTTATAACATCAGCTATCTGCCAGTGAAAGTCCTGTTAAAATTGGTCCAGCCGTTTCGGAGATTACCGGGAACTAATAGACAGACAGACAAAAGTTGTAAAAACTGTTTTTCTGTTATTGGTACTGTATATACTTTCATATGCATTTAGTTAAATGCAGTTATTTTAACATTACAAACAGACACTTCAATTTTATTTATTTGTATAGATTAGTGGCTAAAGTTCCTCCTAAATAATTTTGTTTATATTACAGTGGGAGTCGGTCTAATAAAACTTTCAAACCAAAGAAGAATATACCAGAAGGAACACATCAGTATGACCTTATGCGGCATGCTGCCGCTACATTGGGTTCTGGAAACCTTCGACTAGCTGTTATGTTACCAGAGGGAGAGGATCTCAATGAATGGGTTGCGGTTAACAGTCAGTATTACGTGCAATATGAAATAAGTTTTAAAATATTATTTTACAATTGTATAATCTTTTTTATTTAAAAATAATGTTCTAGAAACTCTCTTTACTACTACATGTTCAATAAATTATTTCTCTTTATTACAATATATATTGCATTACAAGTATTTTTTTATAGAACAAATGAGCACGTAACCCATCTGATGGTAAGTGGATACTGTGGTCCATAGACATCACATTAATATTCAATGAAAAATAAAAAAAGCAAATGCATTGTCACCCCTGAGGACTAAGATGGAATGCCTAATAAAAGGGGTATCAGGTTTTCTACATTCACCATACGAAACACAGCGTCATTAAGCTTCTATTTGAAGTAATTATTAAAAATTACAACAAAGGGAAAAAAAAGTTTTAGTGTAAAAGTGGAAGGAAATATATAGTCTACTTATAATAAAATATTTTATATGTACAGCATATGTACATTTTTTGTATAGAGTTAGAATAATGTGTCTTGAGATAAATTTATAATGGATCATAGCATAGGCTATGGAACAACTGCCCTTATAGAATTTACATTGGGCATTGTTGAAATAATAGATAATTTTAAATTATATGTAAATATTAATAAGTATTTGAAAAGTTGCAAGTTTTGAAATTTGAAATTCAAAAACTTAAGATTTTTTATTGTTGTTATTTATATGGGTAAAATATGTGGTAATTGAATCTTTGTCATTAGTATAAAATAGTACAATTCGAATTTGCAAGAATTTGTTTTATTCCTAGTTGTTCATTCTTAGTTGTATATTGTCAGCAATATTGTTTTTGTAACTCAAGATTTTTCTCATAGGCAAACTTTCCTACTCTATCAACCCTCACCAGAAATGCGTCTTTTTTGTTTATTGTCATGCACCATTCCAAACAGCAGTAGTATGCTTGTATCCTGTGACACAATAATCTAGTCACAATAAAATAGTTTTTTGGTGGAGCCAACTTTCTTGTGTTGCAGTACGAAAACTAAAATTATAATTAAAATTAAATATATTATATATATTAAAGATTTTTTTTCTTATGCTGATCTGCAATCAGTTGAGTATTGTGTTTGTCGTGCAGGGGCTACTCCTCAGTAGAAGCTACCTCTTCAATTTTGGAACCTGGTATCTAGATTTTGAATGTCATAGCGTTTTAGTTGTTTGCAATAGCTGATTTGTGCCAAGTTAGCCGCTAGGACGTTGAGGTGTTTTTGGAGGCGATCCTTGTATTTACCTGTGTACAGAGCATGCTTCCTTCCAGAAGCTTCCTGCTTCAACTTTGTCATGTTGAGAGCCTCGTGAATTTCACTGTTTGTCACAAACCATGATTTATTGGCTATCTGTCACAGTAATCCGTTTTGCACTTGTTGTATGATTTTTATATTGGTGTTATAAGCTCTACCCCAGAGTTCGATGCTATGTCCATACTGGCTTTAGGATGGTCTTATTTATGAGTAGCTTATTATCCGTGGAAAATACCAAGTTGCGAGCCATTAGCCAATGCATCTTTTTGTACTGCATGTTAAATTCGTCCCTGTTGTTTTTTATGTGCTTTTTCCAGGTAAGTCTCCTGTTAAGATGCATACTGAGATATCGTAACAACTCTCTTTTTGGTAGCACACTATTTCCCAGCATCACTTGGGGATAGTTCCCTTTCCTCAAGGTGAAGGTATGTACAGTCTTGGACACGCTGGCTTTAATTCTCCATTTTTGCAGCCAGTCATCCACTTTGTTGAGGCTTTCTTGCAGAGTATTGGATGCCACAATGGGATCAGTGCTGCTTGCCAGTAATACAGTATCATCAGCAAAAGTGGCTGTGGTGACATTTTAAACATCTGGAAGATTTGCCGTGTACAGCGTGTTACAGGGCTGGACCAGGCACGGATTCTTGAGGAACTCCCGCTTCTATATTATAGAACGCCGATGATTCTCCGACGTCACGAACTTGGAAAATACGGTCAGACAGATAGTACCGCATGAGTAGGTAGAAGCCGTGAGTTAATGTTGTTTTGATCTTACAGAGTAGTCTCTTAAACCAGACTTTTTCGAAGGCCTGCTGGATGTTCAGGAAGGCAGCCCAACAGTATTCCTTAGACTCGAGGGATTTCAGTATTTGTTCGCACACTCTGTGCACTTGTTCTATTGTAGTGTTGTTGTCTAAAGCCAAACTGATGTTTAGATATAGCTTGTTTTTCTACAAGGATGGGCGTTACCCTTCACAGCAGGATGTTTTGAATACTTTTGAGAGTGTTACAAGGAGGCTTATCGGTCTGTAGGATGTAACTTCTTCTGCTGGCTTTCCAATCTGTTGGATCATAATTATGAGTGAAATTTTCCACAGCATGGGGTAGTATTGAACTTAAGGATACCATTAAAAAGGGTTGTAAGATAGACCAGAGCCTTTTTTGCGAGCTGCACTAACACTTCTTTTGTTATCAGGTCGAAACCAGGTGCTTTATTATTTGGTAAGTTTTTGACAGTGTTTATGAGCTCCTTCATCATTACAGCCTTTAGTGGGAAATCCAGTTGGAGGTCTTGATTTGAATTGAAATGAATAAACGGGCTGTTTTCCGTAACTCCGCGTCTAAGTACGTATTTTGCGTGCCCACACGCAGGAATAATGTATTTATTCCAGCCATGTAATCTCCCCGAAGAAGTTCAACAGTCCTTTGATGTTGCAAGCAATTTCGAGGAGTGATCCCGGGGTGCCGAGCTGTTTAGCCCTGTATACAGCGACTTCAGGATACGTCAGCAACACGTGGGCCGCCGTTTCTTCCTCCCCCATACATGCCCTGCACAGGGGACTGTCAGTAACACCTATGGTAAATAAATGTTTGTTAAAATTACCGTGTCCTATGATAGCACTTGTTACTATCTTGAACTGCGCCTTGTTCAGTCTCATTAGAACCTTGGTTAAACAACTGTTTATTTCAGGCAGGGCCTCCCTAGCTTGTCTACAGTCTACTAGATTTTTCCATAGTTGAGCGTGTTGATTAGTGTAGTGTCTACGTACCAGTGAACGAACATTACCAAAGAGGATTGGTATAATTGGTTCTGACCCTATAGTGGCCAGAGCCGAACCTCTTCTGGCCAGTTTGTCTGCTGCATCGTTGCCTCTGGATCCACTGTGTCCCTTTATCCATTGCAGAATCACATTGTTGTGTTTACATACCTCATTTAATCGTTGGTGGCATTCATATATCCTAAGCTCATCACATTGCAGCTCAGGGCTTGTAGTACCGCCCTACTGTCAGTCAGTATTCTGATGGAGAAGTCGTTAACTTTTCTAGCATCTATTGCTATGGCCACTTGAATGATACCCATACATTTCGCCTGAAGGACTGTGTTGTAGGTACCCAGCGGTGTGCATATAATGTTGAGGTCTTCAGAAAAAGTTTCAGATCCTACACCTTCATTTGTTTTAGAACCATCGGTGAAGACTCTAAGCTTTTTTGGGCTTAATCGCTCCGGCTGGCTGGTTTCATTTAATTGTATCTTATACTTCTTATTGAATACAAATTGTTTATGGATCTTATCGTACTTGCCTTAAAAGATAGGAATTTTTGTGTGAATTCTATCAATTATGCCTGTGTGAGGGAGGGTCTTGAGTCTAATGGCAGCTAAAGTCGCTTCTTTTTGTATGTTTAGATGAAGCGGGCTTAGCCCCAGCATCGCCTCTAAGGCTGCTGTTGGCGTAGTTCTTATGCAGCTTGTGGCAACCATACATGCCAGTCTCTGGTAACGCTGAAGCTTCTTTATGGTGGTGGCTTCATTTGTTTTGGTCCACCATACCAGAGCGCCGTATGTGATCATGGACCGAATAACAGTTTTGTATAGCCACAGTATGATTTTTGGCGTCAGACCCCATCTTTTGCCAATCATGTTTTTGCATTGCCAGAAAGTTATACTAGCTTTGTTGATTTTGTTTTCTATGTGTTTATTCCAGTAGAGTTTACTGTCCAAGGTGAGACCAAAATATTTTACCTCGAAGGATAGCTGGAGTTTTGTGCTGAAAAGACTTGGGAGATGATAGTTATTCAGCATTCGTTTTTGTGTGAACATTACTAGAACCGTTTTATTTAGATTTACGGTTAAGTCGTATTCTTTTTTTTTTTTATAGGAGAGGGAGCATGCGGCTCACCTGATGGTAAGTGACTACCGCTGCCCATGAACAATTGCAACACCAGGGGAATCGCAGATGCGTTGCCGGCCTTTTAAGAAGGAGTACGCTCTTTTCTTGAAGGTCCCTAAGTCGTATCGGTCCGGAAAAATCGCTGATGGTAATCGATTCCACAAGGAGGTCGTGCGAGGAAGAAAACATCTTCTAAATCGCACAGTGGTGGACCGCCAATCATCCAGATGGTGTGGATGGTATCGGGAGTTCTGCCGCGATGTGCGTTCGTGAAATTTGGCGGCTGGGATTAATCCGAACAATTCCTCAGAGCACTCCCCATGGTAGATGCGAAAGAAAATGCAAAGGGATGCAACATCTCTTCGCAGTGCCAATGAATCGAGCCGATCGGAAAGGGCTCGGTCGTCGACGATTCGCGCAGCTCTGCGTTGGATGCGGTCAAGTGGAAGGAGCTGGCACTGGGGAGCCCCTGCCCAGAGATGGGAACAGTATTCCATGTGAGGCCGAACTTGCGCCTTGTAAAGTTGCAGGCGGTGTGCCGGCATGAAATACTGTCCCGCTCTGCTGAGCACGCCAAGCTTTTTAGAGGCCAATTGTGCCTTCCCTTCCAAGTGACCACGAAACTGCACGTCCCTCGATATGTCGACTCCGAGGATACCGATACTGGCTGAGGCAAGAAGGGGAGTGCCTTGAAACTGAGGAGATACGACAAAGGGGTTCTTTTTAGCGGTAAACGCGCAAACTTGTGTCTTCTGAGGATTAAACTGGACTAGATTTAGTCGCCCCCAATCCGAGACTTTGTTCAGCAAAGACTCGACTTCAGACACAAGTTTGTTCCGGTACTCAGCGAC